ACTATGGAAAAAAAAAAACTATGGAAAGCAGCGCAGTAGAATACAAAACGCGTTCTATGTGTGCAGAATTCTTTAAGGGTTTGTTCACATATAGCTTGTTTGCATTCCACTGCGCTACATGTCCATTGTTTTGTTTGTTTGTTTGTTTTGTAAACGTTCACTAGCCATCTAATTTTTCATCTCTAGACCTTGCAAAACGCCCCTGTTCCACTACCCTACATCTCCCGCTTTTAAAAGCATGAGGTGAAAAAGCATTATCCTTTTTTTTTTCATACAATGCAAGTTACCAACATTCTGTAGAATATCTTCTGTTATGTTCTGCAGAAGAAAGAGAAAGACATACAGGTTTGGAACATGACCTTGAGTAAATTATAACAGTAATTTCATTTTTGGGTGAACTATCCGTTTAAGTGCAGCAACACAGCAAGCAATGAATTACTATTAAAGGGGTCATATGATGCAATTTCAAGTTTTCCTTTCTCTTTGGAGCAGGGTGCGAACTACGGGGGAGCTAGGGGGAGCTCGGCTCCCCTTAATAAGACATGGGCTCCCCTGAAAACGTGATTTGTGAAATTTTGGGGGGTCTCAAAAAATATTCACAGCATCACAACATGGTAAGGGTGCAACATTTCCGTCACACGCTTGAGGTATTCGGCCAATCACAACGCACTAGAAAGCTGGCCAATCAGACCACACCTCGCTTTTCAGAACGATGAGCTTTGTAAAAATCGACGCGTTTCAGAAAGGCGGGGCATAGAGGAGAAACAATAATGTACAGTATGTGGAAAATAATGTGTTTTTTGAACCTTAAACAGCATAAACACATTTCATTACACCAAATACACAAAATAATGTTCTTTTTAGCAACATCATATGACCCCTTTAAACCCTTGTGATTAGATTCAACTCTATAATGGCTTTAACAATACTGTTTAATCAGATCTTAAAAACATAATAAATACATCAATAGGAAAAACGCAGAGGAGCCACGTATATACTTTTTTTTTAGGCCTAAAACAACAGCATCATTTTATCACAATGTTCATTTTGAAGGTTTGCGTTCCTCAGAGGAGAAACCATTAAAATCTTTACATCATAGAATGTGCATTCCAATTTCCAAACCAGTGTTCTTTTATCCAGAATGATAAAAGAAAAGGTGATTCTAAATGAATAAGGTCCAATTTCAGCATCCATAACAGCTAGACCCGTCGCTTTTCCTTGACAATAATGGGTTTGTTGCTCAAATTGAGCAGGAACTGAACTGCGGAACATTGTGGATGAGAGAACAATCCCTTTCCACAGAGTCAAGACAAGGACCTCATTAGTTTAATTTGGGCAGACTAAGCATATTTCATTGTCACACTGTCACATTGTGAGTGACAGAATTTGGAGCCAAAAAGAAAGGCAATATTCGGCACAAGGTATGAGTAACCTGCAAAAGTCTGAAACCACAAGTGTCAACAGTCTATTCTGAGATAGTCCGAGGAGGAGGAGGAGCTTGTGCTTGTGATGTCATCACAGCAGTCCTCTGCATCAGAGAAAGAGGAAGTATAGTGGAGGCCTGAGAGTCTGTGGTAGTCCTGCTGAGTGACCTCTGGCAAATGAGACATGTCCACTGATGTCTGGCCTCTTCGTGAGCCAGACACACTCCACATATCAATCAACTGCGTGCAAATGGCACAACCCATTGCTGTATGTTATTTCCAAAATGTGGTCAGATGCTAACTGCTTTCAAGAACAGAAAACTATATGACATCATATATGACACCCTATATGACATCAACTTTTAAAAGGTACACACTGAAACACGTTTGCAGTATAGAGGCATTTACTCATTCAAGCACTGGCTGTCACACAATCGCTGATTAACAGCAGCTTGGACTCGTCATATGGTTGGATGCAACATAAGATGGCAAACAATGAATGTGTCTGTGTGAAAAGAGCTATATGAAAAGAAAAGAGAGCGTGAGAAAGCAACTATGTCTAAGTAGGTCTTTCCTAGGAATGCTTTGTTCAAACCCTCGCCTGGAGGTAGTGACAATTACAAGGTGGAGTACAAGATAAAAACTGAAAAGGATGCATTGAGACAAGAAAAGACAAGGACTATGAGTCAAATCGTTGTAGCGTGTGCACTGCAGACCACAAACGTATCGGCTAGACTGAAGACTGCCAGGGAATTACTGAAAGGTCATAAGTTTACAAGGTCAGTGTGCAAATATTGGAACATGGTCAGTAATATTTCAATCTCTTATTGTCGGTTAGTAACATGACAAACTGGAACACGATATCGCAGATGAGTGTTTATCTCAAAAATGCAGTACCACACCTGTTTTTAGTTTGAAATCACATTACTTTCTGAACATATAGAATATCGGAAGCTAATGCAGTCCCTATTTTGCCATAGTCAAAGATCAGTGAAGCTGTATCCTCCCACCCTGAGAATCCTGGGTGTGACATTGATCATTGTCGCTACTGTTGCTAAAGTCTCTGTGGTGTTTTCAGTCCATGCACATCACTCGGACCATCGTCCAGCCTGGAGAAAGAAACATAACACATTCAACTAATGGCATTAGAGATGCATCTCATAACAATTAGCTTTTGACTAAGCCTAACATGGATGGCCGTTTACAAGAACTCTGGGTAAAAGACTTAAAATACCATCCTAGGTATTCAGTCAGATGATGCTGATTACTATACTAAAAACAATCGTTTTTCATGCTACAAATAAATTTGAAATAGTGCAATAGTGAAATAGTGAAGTGACGTGTGGCCAAGTATGGTGACCCATAATCGGAATTTGTGCTCTGCATTTAACCCATCCAAGTGCACACACACAGAAGTGAACACACACCCTGAGCAGTGGGCAGCCATATTGTTGCGGCGCCCGGGGAGCAGTTGGGGGTTCGGTGCCTTGCTCAAGGGTCTCACCTCAGTCGTGGTACTGAAGGTGGAAGAGAACGCTGTACATTCACTCCCCCCACCGACAATCCCTGCCGGACCTGGGAATCGAACCCGCAACCTTCGGGTTACAAGTCCGACTCTATAACCATTAGGCAAATCTGTACAGTATGTACAGTATGAAAAATGGACTTGCTAAAGATTACGTTTAACATTAAGTTATTGTTTTTGAAGACCCCCTGTGGTAAAAATAAGGTTTATAAAATTGTTTATATATCTATCTGGTGTTTTTAATATACTTAAAGACAAACCATGTGCAAATTCATCGGTCAACACCACTGCTTTGCATTTTCCACTTAAAACTGCATTGTAGGCCTACCAAAGTCTCAAAAATTGTGGTTTGAAATAGCCCCATCTTCACAAACATGTAACTAATCCCGTCAACTTGCAGCAAAGTGTTTCTACCAAAGAATGTTGATTTTTAGAAGGTAACTGTCTGAGATGGTGAACAGGAATATGGTTTGTGTAACATTAACAACACATTATTAGCTGTTCGATAAGGTAGTCAAGCCAAAGGCTACTGATATCAATTACTATTATGTGTCTGTGGCGAGGGGGGCGGGGGAAGGTGAAAGGCTTACGACCAATAAAAGGTCTACTCGCCACCCCTGACTTCCTCGTCCTTCTTCCCGTGACTACGAACTTTGCTACAGTGTCCAACAGAGCATTACATAAAGAAACATTTTGAAAAAAACATTTAAGTAGGTCATCAAGGTTATCAAAGATGAGTTTTAAGGGATCAAATTAGTAACTGCAGGGGGACTTTAAAGATCATTTTAAATGACACAAAGGTGATGTAAATGTAAAAACAGGAAACTGAGCATGAACAATTAAATGCTCAATATCGACCGATGCAAACCCTAATATCAATACCTCATGCAATTGCCCATTCATTTCAAGAACATTAATTTCTATCAAATTATTATATTACAGTGTGATTACAGCATCAGGTGTTGTATCTGTTAATAAGACTACATCTGAAAAACAGGTCTTAGCTTTGAACATTTTGAGCAATCAAGCTGTGAAGGGCTGACAGAGATGTAGCTCTGCACGCACCGAAGTGTTAATAACAAGGTCTATTAAAAATTCATTTCACAGCCATGAGGTTATTACCTCATGCCTGATCTGGTTGACAAAACATTGCTCTGAGCTCATCATTAACACCTCTTGCCAGCTGCCTTTGTGTCTGAAATTACTGGAGGGAATCACTTTTATAGAGACATCTAAGTAGAAACATTTGAGTTTTGGTGATTTACTGGTTGCCGACCGCATAATCTCCTCCAAATCACATGGATATGTTGATTCATGTAATTTTCAGAGCATTTTTTAAATTAGCAATTATATGAAATGAAATATTGGGGTATGTTATATTAAAAAGGCCATTTCAATACACTTCAAAACATGAAACTTTAAAAAACAGCAAGACAAAGAGGGTGTGTTCACATTAGCAATGAGTCTGAGCAGAAAGTGCAGCTACCAAACCTCATCTGCATAAAACAGGTTGTTTAGTCATTAGTGAAGATTTCCACCATTTAAAAGGCTTTTCTGAACCTTCTGGATAGATTTTATACCAATGTAATTGTTAATAAAGCAGGAAGGTTTTTTTTAGTAATTAACTTCTGCAATGTTGACAGTGAAAATAGTGATTTTGCACCTATGTGTACAGTAATGTTACTGTTATTCATACCATAAATACAATATCATTAATTTTTTTAAAAAGGAATTCAATTAAAAAGTTATAAACTGATGTTTTATGAACCAAGGACATTAATTTATTCACATGGTACTATCAGTTAATATAAACAGTTAATGTAAACAGAATCTTGACTAACAATAGCCTGATCATTTAGACTCAGAAATGCAATGTTTATCTGTTGTGTTAAACAAAAGAGCTGCCAGATGTTTCTGTAGCCCAGCTAGTACCACAAATGCTAATGTTTAGACACAGTAGACCAGCAAGATGTTATTGTCCACGTGATACACAAAACATGTTGATTTCCAGAAATGACCCTTTAGATAATGAAAGCCAGATGCTGCAATTGCGCAAAAAGAGAGGAATGACGACTCACATTGGGAAGAAAATTACAATCCTTTTTCCAGCAGACAAGACTGGCGCTCAGTTGGGTGGTCTGCAGCTCTCTGCATCCTTCTCTCCTCCTCCTTCTGCACTCTCCTTTCTTCAGCCTGCAGACAGAAAGAGGACTTACAATGACATCAGCATTGATAGCGAGCTCTGTCATATAAATATTCACCTTCCCTGTCAGATTATTTGGTTTATACAGGGCAGCTGATTGAAGCAATATTCCAGGGGCTGTCTGAGGACAAAGGGAGGATGGAGACGAAGGGTGGGGGTACGTGGGGAGTGGTGATTAAGATAAATGAGATGAACAGAGCTCAGAGCATGAAGGTAACATTGAGTAGCTGTTCCTCAGCATGCTTAAAGAATGCCTGGGGCTCTGGGAGCTAAATATGGATCCTTATAAATTTAATAACGCAGTTTTTATCCGTGATAGACACATGGAAATAGCTCAGCTTGAGAACTACGCTTTCGTGTGTGTTTATATATATATATATATATATATACAGTGCTGCTTGAAAGTTTGTGAACCCTTTAGAATTTTCTATATTTCTGCATAAATATGACCCAAAACATAATTAGATTTTCACACAAATCCTGAAAGTAGACAAAGAGAATCCAATCAAACAAAGAAGACTAAAATATATACTTTATGTCATTTATTTGGTGAGAAAAATGATCCGGTGTTAACCCTCTACCGCATGGTGTGGCAATATGGCAACATACTCTTTGTGTTCATTTCCTTGCCACTGTCTCTTTAAGAGAACATTCTCGTTTTTTTGTTGGAAAGAGAAGACCTTAGTTTAGCCAATGATGTGCTTTGATTAA